TGTTCCTAGTAGTAAGGCCAGGAGCCCCTAGTAGCGTCCTTGCTCCTAGTAGCTATGCTCTTTGTTACTAGTAGCTTCTTGTTCCTAGTAGTATGGCCAGGAGCCCCTAGTAGCGTCCCTGCTCAGACAGCCTTACTGGCGAATTTTTGGCAAATTCTGTTCCTCTCTTCTTTGGGACTTCAGAATCTTGAGGATTTCTCCGCCGCTCTAGTCGCCCTGCGCGGCGCCCTTCCTCGCCTGTGGATTCCAGGCGCCACCGGCCGTGTCAGGCGCAAAACGATCCCAGTAGAGACAGAGTCCCGAAGAGAACAATGTCCTCAGTCAGAGATCGCTTTCGGATGTTGTTTTCAAAGGATGGATGGTATGCCCTTCTTGGCCAGAAGAGGGGCCAATCAGCTAGCTCCACGCATTGGTAGATATGTAGCTAAGCGCCAGCTTGATTGGTTTGGTTCTAGGTTCTTTGGGTAACTGAACCGAAATCAGTGCCAAAGACTTTTGAGTTTAGTGTTATCAGCTTTCGCAGAACGAAGGTGCGTACTTCAGAACGATCAGTAGCGATTCTGGGGCAAAAGGGCTTCTTTGAGAAAGTTCTGACTTCACACACGATGTCCCTGAAAGGCCTGAAACGTGCTGATGGTGACAAACCCTCAAAGCTTCACAGAAGCTTTGCGGATTGAGAATCCCGACTGATCAGCAAAAACCTTGATGGGAAAAGTCTCCTTACTGACCTGCATTGAAAATTCAGTGAAGACCAAGTGGCAAGCCCGGACATCAATGTACTTTTGGTACTCTTGCCGTCACGGCTTCGCATGACATCGTGTCACAATGTGAAAAAGTGTCAAATTTGCCTCGATTTCGATGGTACTGGCCCGCATGACCTGGCCCGCGCACCGTCGACCGGTCAACGGCACCGCCCACACGGACAGCTGCGACGTCACGAAGTCATAGAGCCACTTTCCTCCAGGCGAAGCCGACCACATTTCCTTCTACTTCCTTAGCTTCGCCTTGCTTTGTGCTTTTGTGTCTGTTCAAGGAACAAGTCTGAACTTCAGTTGAAAGACAAACAAGGCGGCACTGCAATCAAGGTGATGATACGGGTCTGATTGCCTTTCAAACCAGCGCACATCAGAGCTAACCAGGTTTCCCAAGAAGCTGCACTTGTCATCTTTCTCTTTAAGGCCGCTCCCCCATCCCTACTTAATTAAGTAGGCGCCTACTTAATTAAGGAACTGAGGTAGCTAGTAGCTTAAGTTGCTAGTATGGACACAAGATAGCGCTCGCACTAGTGATTTGGCTTCTAGATGTTTAGGGAAACAATCAGCCCAGCCAAAGCGTCTAAGGCCGTCTGAGGCCTAAGGACATGGAAACTGCAGAGTGTAGTCTTCCGTTTTCCAGCAGAAAGCACCCGGCTTTTGGGCCGAAAGAAGCTTTTTATTCCCCCTTTCCTTTTTTTCGGTGGATGCGCACCTGGAGGTGCTGAGTCCGACCAGCCGTAGATGTTCTTGGTGTACTCCACAAAGATGAAGGAGAAGGCTGTGACGTTGCTGCCTGTCAAGCGCTGAAAACCATCGAAACCACAAAACCACATCAAGATCTGAAAAAGACTTTGTAAGAAGATACTAATAGCAAACATTGTTACTACTAGTAAGGCACTTGCTCCTAGTAGCGATGCACTTGTTCCTAATAGCTTCTTGTTACAGACTTTTTTGCAGGGTCCAGTCGAAGAAAATGACTCTGTGGAAACCTTGGCCGCAAATTCAGTGAAGCTCGGCCTGGTGAAGGTGTGTTCCCTGCTGTAGGCGGCCTCAGCTGTGCTGCTAACGGTGACGTACAAAAGCTGCTGGTCGCGCGCCAGAGCGCTGGTTCAAGTGTCAAAGCGACTGTGGCCCCGGGCACTGCAAACTTTGGCGGGAACACAAAGACTGGGCTCACCTTGGCAGTGTGGCGTGCAATCTTCCTAGAGTACATACATGTCTTGTTTTTTCTGGAACAACAAAGCTTTCTAGTAACTAGAATTGCTACTAGGTGGAGGCAATCGCTATTAGGTTGGAGGCCATCGCTACTAGCAACAATAAAGCTTTCTGGTATTATGTTATTTCTTTCGACCTTTCTTTCTTTAGATCTGCCTTTCTTTGTTCGTAACTCTGCGTTCTGAACAAAATCCCCAGAGTTCATGCCGCTCTTAGTCAAGATCTGAAGACATGTTCGAAGCGTCCTTGGACCCGCTTCACATCGTTTCACCCTCAAACGTGGCCTGGCTCATGTTTCGAGTACGCCCGATGTACAGGACAAAGCCCGGAGTCACAAAGCGCATGGGAGGCGCCTTGGCAAGCAAAACCCTCACGTTAAACTGGTCTAGGCTAGTAGTTTGTAGTCACCGGCCAGACAAAAAAGGTAACCGCTGAAAACTGGTCCTGAATCCGGTCAAGGTGCACCAGTGGTGAGCTGAACGATGACCTGCTTGCAAATGGTGTCACGCCTCAATGTTGATCGATTTGCACTCATTGACTGTGCTGATGTGGAATACGATACAAACATGATACACTGTCACTATATACAGAATATAAGGCCTTCTTGTACAAAAATGTCGAACACTGTGTCAAGATAACTTCTCTCTAGCGAATGTGTATTGTACTTCTCTGTATGCATGTTTATGCATGTTTATGCATGTTTAAATGCAAAATCTCCACACTTTGAACTTTCCAGTGGGACGGTCTCTGGGCGCCCCACAACACTGCTGCTCGGGTGATCAGCTGGGAGGTTTGCCTTGGAAGATGAATCACAACAAAGAACATGCTCGGCCATTGAAGCAAGCTTTGTTGCGTGGTTCAACAGCTATAGCAAGCTTTGCTAAGCTGGCTGAGCTTCCTGGCCGCTCAGCCTCCTTCTTCGCACGCACTGCCTCTGCCTACGAAGCGTCTTCGCAGCTACAGTGGTTCAGTCGCAGCCACACGATCAGGGAAAGAGGAAGTATTGTGGAACAAGATTTGCTAAAAGACGTTAAGCCTTTCAAACTGCTCGAAAACATGGAAAAGCAAAGTCGTCCCGAGTGCCTCTGCTAGCGTGGCCTCGGCCTTTTTGGTGGCACGTTCGAAGGGCGGCATCATTGCATAGGAGGCCTGGAACAAGTACAGTACAGCTGGATGGTAAAAAGGTCCAAAAGAGTCCACACTTGCAAACCCGAGATGTTCTTGTCAGTTGCATTGGATTTAGCAAAAAAACTGAACAAAGAGCAAAACATGCGCCACTCCTTTTCTTGTTCTCTCTTCCCACTCTGGAATCCGGGAGTCGGCTTCTGCACATCTAAAGCTGTATGCCGTTTCAGTCTTTTCAGCCGTTGGCTCGTCGTTCCGCTTGCTCAAATTCGTCACGGCTGAAGTCACCCACACGCCCGTGTCCCACGTGTCACAGTGGAGCTGGTGGGAAACAGCTCTCGCAACGCATCTCAACAAATGTCTTGGAAGAAGACATGGGTTGCATCAAACTCTGTTTCGGCACAAGGAAATAACTACCAGAAACTATTCCTTTGACTGAGACTCTCTAAAACTCTCAATGTGACACTGGGACTGAGAGCCGTGCAGATGCCAGACGCACGCCCGCACCGGGCTCAAGCAGCTTTCGCTTTCTTCGCCGCCAAGCGCCGTGCCTCCTCGGAGCTCATCAAGCCACTGGGCCTCGATGAGCGAGGAGAAGGACAAGAGAAAACCAAGATCGTGCCACGGCAGCCACGGAAAAAGAATGAAGGATAAGGAATGGCATCCAATGCATCCAATTAGGAACACGTGCCAGCGTAGCCCCTCGGCCAAAGGGTTTGCATGTTTACACGCTTGGGAACATATGCAACGGGAATCCAGTTGTTATGGCTGGGTCTTTTTGCCTGAACATAGGCCCATTGCCCGTTGCGGAGAATCAAACCAACCCTTCACCCCGTTGCCCAGGCTTGGAAGTCAAGTCTCGTAAGCCAACCTAATTGGAATGCAGTGTGGGAAGAGGTGGATTTGAAGTTTGGGTTGATCGATTCTCCAGTTCTTCAGACTGACGTTCAGCCGGTTTCACTCTTCCCACCTCAGGCGCTTCTTCTCATCCGTCTCCTTGGTGCTCTTGTTGAGGACGTCGGACCAGAAAAGCGAGCTTGGAGGCCGCGAATCACCCACAAACTCCTCGCCATCGCCGAATCGAGACGCCAGACTGAAGGTCGTAAGGACGAACTCTGAGCCGAACCTTCTTACATGGCAAGCCCCAGACATCGCCGTGAGCTGCATTTGTAAGCCCAAAAACATCCCGGTTGGTCTGTCCTCTGCCATCGCGGTAGCACCAGCAGCTTCCGCCGCTGCCAAGAGAGCATCCATGTCATCCTCGATCTGGTCCGTCCAAGTGATCAACCTTTTGACCTTTTGACCTTAAGAAAAAGACTTTAAGGAACCTAGCGATGGCCTCCCCTGATGTCAGCTCCAAACACGGTCCAACCTGCTGCACCGTTTTTATCGAAGTCCGTGGCTCCGCAGCTGGCGCAGGCGCAGGAGGACTTACATGCTCCGCTTCAGGCACCTCCTGGAAAAGAGGAAAACTGAAGCTGCCGCAGAGTCATAGCGTGTTTTGCTCCACTATATGGGTATGATGTTATACGGGCCCGGGTGAAAGGAAAGATGGTTTTAAATCTGCAGGTTCCTTCACTGCGAGCCTTCACCAGGGCCTGCTACTTGCTTGCGAGGTATTTGTAAATGGACCTGCAGGTTTGTTGAGCTTTGGCAATAGACACACATCTGTCACATTTGTCTTCATTCCCTTGCGCGTCTCTTTAGAACCACATAAAGAATGGGAGTGCGTGTCCAAATCACACGCCAATGCCATCTAAGGGTCACCATCTTCCTTACCTATTTTACATGGCCTTGCGGCCTTGCGCCCTGCCATAAATAAGTCATCTCTTGTGCTGTGGGCCGGACATGCTGCTTCTCCTCGAGCTCAAGCTTTCTCACATAGTCGGCAGGTACGTCACTCAAGCTTCCATCTTCCCAAGTGATTGAGATGTTGCCGTCCTCTAGGATTGCCTCAACAAACCAGAATGCCACTGGCGGAGAAGGGGGCTCAATTATTTTTCTCTGAGAAAATGGTAAGAGCCCATCTGTAGAAAAAGTCGATGGGCATCGGTCTCTTCTCAGGAATCGAGTTCTCCAGTTTTAACCCGGATGAATTGGCCTACATACAAAGCGACAATCAAGACAAGCACTGATGTTCCTTCCAGCCTGGCTGTCGCGAAGAAGTTCTTTGCGGAAAACCGAAGAGAACAAGTCACATCCCTTTTGAGGGAGAGGGAGAGAGGCCAGAGGGAAGAGGGGAGAGAGGAGAGGCAGGGAGGGAAGGAGGGAAGGAGGGAAGGAGGGAAGGAGGGAAGGAGGGAAGGAGGGA